GCCCACTCCTGGCCCTTTTTTCAAAGAATTTTGAGACAAGGTCTCCTAAAGTCACCCAGTTTGGTGATTTATGATCCTCCTGCTCCAGCCTCTTGGGTACCTGGGATTACAGGTGTGTGCCACCACATCCATTAAATACTACCACCTTTTTTTTTTGGGGGGGGGGGCTGAGGATTGAACTCAGGGACACTTGACCACTGAGCCACATCCCCATCTCAATTTTTGTATTTTATTGAGAAATAGGGTCTCATTGAGTTGCTAAGTGCCTCATCATTGCTGAGGCTGGCTTTGAACTTGTGATCCTCCTGTCTCAGCCTCCTAAACTGCTGGGATTACAGGCATATACTACCATGCCCAAATTGTTTTTGATAGCTATTTTCTCCTGCTATCCTATCCTGAACATAATGTAGTCCCTCTAACATACCCTAGCCAACAAGTTCAGCTTCAGTAATTGAAGTAGCTGATTTCTATCACTGAGATCCTATTTGAAGAAATCCAGTGACCCAAGGAAGATATAACTGGGGTAGTTCAGGGGCTATTTCTAAATAAATCATTCAGACCAAACTACCATATATACTTGTACTTTTTGTTTTTGGTACTGGGGATTGAACTCAGGGACACTTGACCACTGAGGCACATCCCCACCCCTATTTTGTATTTTATTTAGAGACAAGCTCTGAGTTGCTTAGTGCCTCGCTTTTACTGAGGCTGGCTTTGAACCTGTGACCCTCCTGCCTCCACCCCTAAATTGCTGGGATTACAGGTGTGTACCACCATGCCCGGCATCTTTACTGATTTCAAAACACTTTGTCTTTTCCAGGAACATGAGGCCTTACTGACCATAATTTTTCCTGTTCTCTAATCTAAATAATCTCATGCTTCAGTTCAAGACCAACTTTTCTTGTTCTAGTCTCTAGCAACATAGTTAATAGTACTCCTGTACTATTATTCTTCAGGGAATTTATTAATACTTTCAAGGCTCTGGTCATTCAATCAGTCAATTTCTATGTATTCATACCATCAATAAATAAAGAGGTGATAGAAGAAAAAAATGCACCATTTGCTGAATATATAAAGGAAGAGCCCTTTGGTATAGAAGAAAATACCTGTTACATGTGAAGCAGACTTTGACGGGTAAGGGAACAAGACCATTGTGATCTAACTCATGCTGTGTCTTCTTTACATTTTTCCCTGTGGTTTCCTCCTTTCTTCTCCTCTTGCTAGAACCTAGAAGAGAAATTGGTGATGCTGAACTGCTCAGACATGGATCTTTCTGAGGCCCCCAGAGCTGGTTTCGAGTGAGAAAATGAATAGGAAGAGAGGAAAAAGGAGATTCAGATATAAGTCAGAGACTGTTCATGAGGGAGCAAAAGTCACCTGTTCTATAGCAGTAACACATCTGTTTTACAAACAGCAAGTGATCAGAAACCTGGGTTTGACACTGGCAACCTAAGAAATATAAATGCCCAAATCAAATGGTCAACAAAGACTATTCTGTGAAGGTAGCTGAAGACTACAAATTTACATTTTTATAGAAATCAGAAATGCCTTGATTCCATATGCATCTTTTAAAACTTTCCACCAATTTCTCTTTCTCTAGCAAGAAAAATAGATCTAAAATCTTTGTGGTATCAATGGTATCAAATAGAAACCAAGACTTGATTAAAAAAAATAAATAAAAGAGGGTAATTGGTAATAGACAGATATTACAAATTGGTAATTTAGTAATATCTATCAGAGCTATCAGTGCATACTGACCCAGCAATTAGGAATTTAACCTACATATAATACCCACATATCTATTACATGTAGTACACAATGATGTAATTACAAAGTTATTTGTTGAAGTACTATCTTGGTAACAAAAGATTAGGAACAACCTAAATGTCAGTTAATAGGAAACTAGCTAAATTGTGGCACATCTGTACAATGGACCATTATGCAAGCACAAAAAAAAAAATTGAGGAATTTCTATATTAATATATTAATACCTCTAGAATATTTTGTGAAGTGAAAAAAAGCAAGGTGCAGAACAGTATATCTAGTATGTTATTTAAGGAAAAAATACACACATGTATCTGTATTTGCTTATACACGCACAAAGAAATTCTAGGATACACAAGAATCAACCAGTGGTTTCCTGTGAAGGGTAGGAAGATGGATAACAGGCGTGGAAGGGAAATTTTTCATTGTAAGTGTTCATATTTTATATATATTTTTTGGTGTGTGTGTGGTCTTGGGGATTGAACCCAGGCGTACATTACCAACAAACTACATACCCAGTCCTTTTACTTTTCTAAGACAGGGTCTTGCTAAGTTGCTGAGGATCTCACTAAGTTGCTGAGGCTGGCCTTGAACCTGAGATCCTCCTGTCTCTTGAGTCGCTTGGATTACAGGAGTGTGCCACAAGGCCCAGCTTATATTTTTAATTTTGCACCATGTGAAAGTAGCATCAATTTGGAAAAAAAAATAGAAGATACTGAGAAGGGGCAGGAAAGGAGTTTGGAGACTCAAAAAAAAAAAAAAAAAAAAAAAAAAAGGAATATTGAACAAGCACTGTACTAGCTAAAAACCTTCAAAGATCTCTCCAGGCATAACAAGGAATAGGAATGTGAGACAGTGGCTACACAGGCAACACTGCTCTTTGATGGATGATAATCCTTTGGGGAAGCTGGGGTAGGGGAGGAGATATGATGATGGTGTGGCTAACCTGGTAGTGCAGTGGTACAAGTCAGTTCATTGGGCAACTGAAATTGGGTGGGGTTCCGCTCCATGGCGGCAGCAATAAGCAGCTCAAAAGGCCGCCTCAGCTGGGGCTGCACATAGTCCGGCTCTGCTGCTACTGGCTCCTCATCCACATCAATGATGTCCTCATCAACGTCGTTCTGCTCAGAGGTGGGAGTCTCTGTGCTGGCGTTGGATGTGGGGGTGCCAGGCCGGCTGGCTCTCCTTTCCAGAATCCGGGCATGGGCAATGGCCTTGAGTTCAGTTTTGCTAGCTGATCTGTCCAACAAGTCAGTGTCACTGCTGGGTGATGTAGTCCGTTTGCCAGTTTTGTCCACCAGTCCATTGACATGGCCCAGCTCCTTTTTCTGCTCTCGTTTCTGTGCAAATGAATAGGTGGGCCCATCATGAAAAGTACCACAAAATAGAAAGAGATGCGTGTACAATGTCCTGCTAGATCATTAATGAAAATCACAAAGTTCCTTACATATCACAGAATCATTCACCTTGGGACTTGGTCTGTTAAAGTTGACACACTAAATTGAACTAAACTAAAGCTGAGAAAACTATTGCAGTGGGGAAATCACCAAAAAGTATTGGAAAATTAGAAACAATTACACAAATTACACATCATTAACTCTAACTCATCATGATACATATCATCTGTATACAAAGTACAGGTTCAAAAGGCTAAAAAATTAACACAATGAGAATAAATTTAATAAGAATAACAGTGAAAATCAACAAGAGCATTGTAGTCTGCTTTGGAGCATCCTGACTTTCTGATGACTTTTAAAACTTTGCTAAAATAGAGAAAATGTTCCAAAGCAAAGGTAAAACAGGCCAGTAGAGTTCCCCTTTCAGGGAGGCCGGGTGCTGGCACATAAGATAATTAACTACAAGGCAGAGCTGATAGCGTGTGGAGGTCAATCATGGTGTCCAAGAAAGATGGCTTCCAGTGTTTCAACTTTAACTAGAACTCTGAAAGTGATACTTCTTAGAAGATGGAGAAATGGAAAAAGCTTAAGTGTACTCAGTAGGACTGGATGAGTGATAATACATTTTCCTCTAGGATTCCAAATAGACTGGCCAAGGGAAGGTTTAACACTGGTCTCCAGTCAGAAGATCTGGGATCTTGTCCCAGTTCTGCCACCGATTCCCTCTGACCTTGGGTGACTCAGGCTGGTGGGCAGAAATTTCTCTACCTACAAAGCGAGATGAATAAAACTTTATTCTCTTTTTCTGGGAAAAATGGTAGAGACAAAGAAGGTCACATATTGAAAGGGATGGCTCTGAGCTGGGGAAAGACCTAGCTTCCACTAGGAATCATGGTAGGACCTAAACATCAGAGGCCCAGAGGACATTTCATTTTAATAGACTTCATTATAAATACAGGAGCCCCAAACAGAGTGATGATGGTGAAAAAGGCAGATTTGTACCAGTAAACAAAGAGGTCCATGTGAAATCAGGTTGGAGTGGCAACTAGGAGAAGCACCCTATTTTGAAAAAAGCTTAGTATAATTCCCAGCAAGTAGCCCTGCCTGCTTCTTAAAAAAAAAAAAAAAAAAAACCTGATAAAAGACACAACAACAGAGCTTTAAAATGAGATAGAATTTGGTTCAAATATTGGCTCTGTCAATTCCTTTGAGTCCATGGGAAAAGTTACTCTACATTTCTCAGTCTCAGTTTCTTCCTTTCTAAAATAGAGATCTACTACTAGCATCCTTAGATGGCTGCACAGATTAAATGAAATAAAAGTAAATAGCAAAATACCTAGCATATGATAGGTACTGACATAATGTTAGTTCCTTTTCTCAATCCTCATTTTCTGGCTTTACCTCTTCTGTTTCATTTCTCCCAACCCTTTCAGGTCCAGCTTCTTTGCATGGCAAGTTCCTGAAAGGCCTTCTGACTGGGAGGTATCTCCAACTGGCCTGGTTCTAATCTAATTGAGGATGCACAGGAAAGGATGTTGGAAGACAGCCTGGTTTATGGACTTTAAAAATTAAACTATAGCTGTGGTTAGGTGACTGACTTGGCTTGGGTTTGCTTTTTAATAGGAACTCTTGTGCACACATTGAAAAAAGATCAGCCTGTTTATCTTCTTTTTAAAGGCCCCAAACTGTTACAGACATAAACCACAATCTCTGAATCATCTCCTCATCCTGTTTCTGCAATCAAGGAAGTCATTCTCCATTGTGACATCATATTCAGGGGCCAGGAAAAGGTGGTGATGTCACAACAAAGGAAAATTGCTGGGTGTATAATTAGTGTGCAGGAGGGCAAGGGTTGGCTAACAACTTACAAATTCTAATCCACAGCCTGTAATCTGAAGATTGGGTCAGTCATAATCTGAGTGGAAACGCTTCTACTTCCTTTTTTGACAAGTGAGAATTTAACTCTTATACCTAACAAAAATTCTCAAAGCAGGAAATAATGAACCATGTTCCTAAAGCCAGTACTGAATTATCAAAGCCAAGGGAAGGGTAGGTGAAGAGAAAAATGGGTTCAAACTCCTCTCCCCAATACACCTGGCCAAGTCTCTGGAAACCAGTGACTTATTTGCCTTAGGTAAGAAGAAAAACCCCTTTTCCATCAAACTGGAGAAGTGGCTTTTCCTCTGCTGTTTCCCAGCTATGGCTGCCACATTCAGGCCATTTACAGGAGGTCGGTAAGATCAGACTACTCCTGTCACCAGTAACTAAATGTAGCTCAGTAAATTAACACACTTCTGCCCATTTTAGCAACCCATGTTTGGATTTTTAGGCCCTACTAGATTCCAAACAGTCACCATGGGGTGAGTAGGGTGATTTCAGACTGAGAAGAAACACGAAGGGATGAAAATGCCTTCAGGGCCAGGCAATCTTAGCTCCAGAGTATCAGTGCTCTAGATCTGGCATTGTGAGCAAAGCCTTCAGGAAGCAGCATTATTACCTTTCGGCGAACAGTGCACCGGTGACACATCCACTCCCCGGGAGGCAACATCTCTTCACTCAGTGGAGGGTTACTGTGAGGAAAAGACAAGGGCAAGACTAAGTAACTAACCCTTTGATGCAGCAGGAAAAAGCCTAGGTAGGCCTGGCACAAGCTGCATGTTCCTAAACTCTTATTTTGGCCCATCCTTCAGAACTGAGATAGCTTATCCTTCAAAATGCTTACTCAGCATCATTTATAATCAGTTGAGCAATGAATCTTCCTTCTCAACCTTAAAGAAGCCAAATCCAGCTCTACTAACACTGAACTTGTGGGAAAAGGAATAAAGAACTAGTTTGGAGCCTGAAGAATCATTCCCAAACTCTGCACAATGCCAATAAAATCACCAAGAGGTCTTCCACAGTTTTTAAAGTCTTTCAGTCTAAGCCTAAGCTCTTCCACTTGCTGTTCAAAGTCCCCTGCCACATAGCCCCATTCCATCTTCCCTGGCCAACATCAGCTACCCTCCCTCCTGATTAAACTGAAAACTTGCTATTTCTTCCTTTGGAATACCCTTCCTTTAGGAAAGCTATGCCTGTCAAAACTCTTTTCTGCCATCCTTTAAGGCCTGCCTCAATCAACCTGTGGTGGATTCAAAATGGCTGCAAATTTTTGTTCCGCCTCCCATTCAGAGGTAGTTCATTTCCCATCTGTACAATTGGGCTTGTTTTGTGATTTGCTTTGATCAACAGAATGCAGCAGAGATGACGTGGTGTAACTTCCAAGCCTGAGCTTTATAAGATCGGCAGATTCCACTTTTATGTGCTTGGAATGTTCCATCTCAGAGCCCTGCTGTCATGCTGGGAGAAGCCACAAGGAGGATACTTGAGGTGCTCCAATGAACAGCTTCAGGTGAACTCCAAGTCAACAGGCAGGACCAGATACTGCTATGTGAATGTGTCATCTTGGACATACCAGCTCAATCTGTCCTCCAAACAACTGCAGTGTCTGCCAGCAACACGTGGAACAGAAAACCATCCAGCTGATCCCAGTCAACCTTCAGAATTGTGAAAGATAATAGCTAGTTTCTGTTTCAAGCCACTGAGTTTTGGGGTAGTTTTGTTATGCAGTAATAGATAACCAGACACAGTTCTCTCTCCATGGGCTCTTTCCAGATTATATATGTAACTTGTATCTCTTTCTGCATGGTTTAGTTGTCATTTTTTGGCACTTGTATTTTGCTTTGTGTCATAGTTCTCTTATTTATTTTTTGCTGCCTTATTTTTTGATTTCCACACTAACCTTTCCCCAATGCCAAGGATTGAACCCCAGGGCCTTTTGCCTGTTAGGTAAGTGCTCTGTCATTGAGCTAAATCCCCAATCCCTCTTAATTTATTTATTATTATTTTTTCAACTACAGAGACCAAGACAATGATTGTATCTCCTCCCTCTTTGTATTTCTGTAATAAGGAGGTTGTATATGCAGGAGATACAAAGTCAAGACTGAATCAAAATGAGCTGTGTAGGGCTGGGCCTCACAGATCCTCGAGGTCACTGATTTCCATTAAGGTACACCAAAAGCCATGAGACTATTAAATCCTTGAGAGTCACATTTCTACTGCTTATAAAAGTGGTTCTTTCTCTTTTTCTGGGGGACTGAGCACTGAGGTGCAGCCTCAGATCCCCTCTGTTTTGATACTGGGGATTGAATCCAGGGGTTCTTAACACCAATATGTAATTTTTATTTTGAGAAAGAGTCTCGCTAAATGCCAAGGCTGGTCTTGAACTTTTGATCTTCCTGCCTCAAGCCTCCCAAGTCACTGAGATTATAGGCATGCACCACTGTGCCTAGCCAACAACAGTGGTTCTCAAAGTATGGTTCCCATTCAGCAGCAACACAGCATCCAGGAATTTATTAGGAATGCAAATTCTGACACCATTTCAGATCTACTGAATAAAAATTTGTAGGATGGGGTGTAGCCATTGATGTTTAACAAGACCTCAAAGTGATTCTGTTGAACATCAAAGCCTAAAAACCACTCTGCACAGAATAAGGTTACATTTATGCTTGTTTAAGAAATTTCTACCTTTTACTCTTGGAGTCACCTTCTTAGAATGGTAGGAAATTTTTTTTTTCAAAGAATGTAACAAATAGTAAAAACAACAAATCCCCCAACTCACATAATTTTTAAAAAACTTTTTATTTTTTATTTTTTAAGTGGACACAATATCTTTATTTTACATTTATGTGGTGGTGAGGATCGAACTCAGTGCCTCAAGCATGCTAGGCGAGCACTCTACCACTGAGCCACAACCCCAGCCCAATTCATGTAGTTTTACAATGCTAAAGGACTCAGCTTTAAATCCTAGGGCTTAAAATTTTACGGTTTCTACTTAAAACAGCGCTTTGGCCTGGCAAATTTCCCTAGCTCTTGCCATGTTTCCCTAGAGCCCTAAGCATAAATGCAGATGCTCACCAAACCTTCACAGTTCATTGCTTCCCTTCCTCCCTGTTTCCTTAATAGAATCTCAGGAGGATGCTTACCAGGAAGCAGAAAACTGGAGACATAGTGGTCTGTTGGGACAGGTCTTCAAGCCCTAGAAACCACAGGTGAATGTCACATAAAGTCTTCCCTGGTTCTCTTCATTGTATTTCTACAATAGGCCATATCCAAACTAATGAAATGCATGCATGTCATTTGCAAAGGCCTACAGACTCTGCTATGCTTCAGCAGCTGTCATATTAAAATTAACCCTGAAGGCTGTCACTTCTGATTCTGTTTTTCATCATTTCTTTTCATCTGCCCGCTGGCATTGTACCAAGATATCCTACATCAAATATGGAAAGCAGAGAAGGGCAAGACAAAGTGATCTGGGCTTAGATCTTTCACCAAGATGTGAATGGTCTCCCAGCTACCCTTCATGCTTCCCTCAATTTCTTCCCAACCTTGCTGACAGAATGATTTATCTAAAACACAATTCAGATCACATCACTCCCCTGACGAAAAAACCCTTCAAAGGCACCCTTCCATCCATTGCAAAATAAAGTTCAAGCTCCTTAGTATTGTGGATTCTGTCTCTTCTGCAGCTCCATCAGTCAGCTGGATCCCTAAACACTGCCCATGCTGTTTCTCACCTCTGTCTCAGCTCATTTCAGTGCCATGGCCCACAATCACACAGACCTTCCCCTCACCTGAACTTCATACTTACTTCCACACTTAAACATTGTCTTTTGTGTATGTGTGTGTGTTGCAAAAAGAACCCTGGGCATTATTCATGCTAGGGAAGTGCTCTATCACTGAACTATATCTCCAGTCTTCCAATCTTAAACATTTTTAATTTGGAGGCTGGGGCTCAACTCTAGAGAGCTCATTTAGCATGTGCGAGATCCTGGGTTTGACCCTCAGCACCACATAAAAATAAATAAATAAAATAAAGGCATTGTGTCCAACTACAACTAAAAAATTAAATATTTTAAAACATTTTTTTTTTAAATTTTAAATTGTTTCTTTTGTTGCAATGCTGGGGATCAAGCCTTGGAACTTCTGCAAGCCAGGCAAGTGCTGTAACACTAAACTACATTCCTAGCCCCCTACCTTTTAAGTACTAAGGATTGAACCTAGGGGTGCTTAAGTACTGAGCCACATCCCCAGACTTTTGAGAGAATTTTTTTTAATATTTATTTTTTAGTTCTCAGCGGACACAACATCTTTGTTTGTATGTGGTGCTGAGGATCGAACCCCGGCCGCAGGCAGGCCAGGCGAGTGTGCTACCACTTGAGCCACATCCCCAGACTTTTAAAAATATTTTATTTAGAGTCAGGGTCTTGCTGAGTTGCTGAGTGCCTTGTAAAATTGCTGAGGCTGGCTTTGAACTTGCGATCCTCCCACCTGTCTCTCGAGCTGAGATTACAGGCGTGGGCCACTGTGCCTAGCTCATTTTTGATGCTCTCTCCCTCTCAAAATAGGGGTTTAATGCTTAAAATTTTTCTTTAAAGTAGCTCTTTGTAGGTTTTTTAAGTATCAGTTTTAGAGATACTAGGTTTTAAAAACACACATTTCCCAGAATTCTACACTGTGTCCACAGGCTTCTTTTGTTAGATTGTCTTAAAGTAAGGCACAGGAGCTATAAGTTTAAGGAGTGGTCCAAGGAAGTCCAGGTGTTGTCTCCAGGATAAGCACAGAACATCAAGAAAAGTGAGGCCATCATTTCATTACTTGATTAGATTTGCTGCTTTCTTAGATTCAGAGTAGCCTTTTGAAACAACAAATTTGATAGCCAGGTGCATGCCTATAATCTTAGCAACTCAGGAAGCTGAAGCAAGAGTATCCCAAGTTTGAGGTCAGGCTGGGCAACTCAGGAAGATCCTGTCTCAAATAAAATAAAAAAAAGTATGAGAAGAAAAAAATACAAAACTGAAAAGGGGGTACCTTGAGAGAAGGCAGTGATATCTAAGAGGATGGACAGGGAAGGAAGGTCTACATTTCTAGGAAATAATCATACCCACAGCTGGAACATAGGCACTGTCACCATAAACCTTTCTTATAATTGTATTTTCTCTCTATTCTAAGCAATTCCTTTTAAGCTTTTTAGAAGGCAGCTTTCAAATCAAATTTCTAGAGGAAAAGAATTTATGAAATGGCTCCAGAAAAGATACACTGCCACTGGGAGAGCTCAGGAACCAGTTCCAAAAGAGGTTATTTGCTCTCTATCAGGAAATTTCCAGGGAGAAAGGTGATTCTGCATCCTTGTGGTATCCATGAAGTCGGTTTTAAGGACTTTCCCACCTCAACTGTCCATCTGGTAATGCTGAGCTTCTTTTACCACTTTCAGCTGCTCACCAGTAAAATCCATGAAAACTCTATGGTGAGACAATGCTGCCTATAAAGATACCAATATGCTTCCTAACCACTAAAGCCTAGAAATAGCAGAATGAGAACGACAACTTCATCTACTATATTACAGTTCACAAGTATTCAACAGATGCTGTTATTTGATCCTAACTACCATATTAGGAGATAATTAATTCTAATTCTCATCATACAGGTGAGAAGACTGACTTATTTAAAGTCATGGAGCCAGTTAAGCAGCAGAACTAAAATCGAAATCAAAGTTTCCTGGCTCTTAATACTCTTGAAACCAAAGGCTATTTTTTTAAATTTATTTTTTATTTTTAGGCAAACACAATATCTTTATTTTGTTTCTATGTGGTGCTGAGAATCGAACCCAGTGCCTCATGCATGCTAGGCGAGCATGCTACCACTTGAGCCACATCCCCAGCCCCCAAAGGCTATTTTTTAAAAAGACTTTTAGTAGTTCTCTTATTTCTGGGGAACCCGGTAGGGTACCTTCCTTAACTTAACGGCCAAACATTTCTTTCAATATCAGTCAATATTTACTGAGTTTTCACTGTTCACTAACCATTGAGCTAGGTACCACACTGGAGGATGAATACAAAGCAAAACTAATGATTAGTTTTTTATATTTTATTTAGAGACAGGGCCTCACCAAATTGCCTAACCCTAACTAAAAAAAAAAAAAAAAGTTGGGGGGCTGAAAAATGTAGCTCAATGTAGAATATCCCTGGGTTCAAGTCCTGGCACTGGTAAGACAATTAATTAAAAAGACAGGGTGTGCAATTAAGGATTCAGGAGGAAACCACAGTTTCAGAAGCAGATTTATTTCTGCTTCTTGACAAACTACCTGATAAAGTTTCTTGAAATGGGAACATTCATCCTGGGAATAAATGTTTAAGTCTAAATAGAGTAGGACAGTGTTTGAACCTTTAGCTTCCTTCTCAGAACTGTTCACATCATAGGAATGTAAACCCTGGAACAGTGTATTCTGTACCCCAGCTGGCTTGTCTTGGAAAACAAGTAGTTCTTTAGTGAACAGGGCAAGAACCTCTATTTTCTGGCTTCAAAACAATATGGCATGCAATACTGTGAGACAGGTAGAGAAGAGTGTTCTCTGAGGACTGAGCTCTAGCAGAACATCTTCTCTGTCATGCTTAAGTTTCCTTCCAGATGATCTGTTAAAAACCTTTGGCCTTGGACTGGGTTGGTGGCTCAGTGGCAGAGCGCTTGCCTTGCACATGTGAGGCACTGGGTTCGATCCTCAGCACCACATAAAAATAAATAAACAAAATAAAGATATTGTGTCCACGTATAGCTAAAAAAAATATTAAAACAAACAAAAA